AACCTTTCCTTCCTTCATTTTGGGCGTTGGGTATTTTATCTCAGCAATGAGAGAAAAGTAACCAAGACATGTGTTTACCATGGAAACTCAAACGATATTTAACCTGAAAGCAAAGTGCGACTGGAGCGGACATTTTGTTTTCTGACTCTTGGTCAGAGGTGTGGATCTCTGACTCCAATAAAACTCATTTGTTTCCATGTTCGGCCTCTTGTGGATGCCTCCCTCGCTGAACTCGCTGAACTTGCTATAACAGTGGTGAACCCTTTAGGGCTTCCAGTGGGAATGGCCCGCTGTGGCACAATGCCTCAGGGTCAGCAGCACCGCCTAAGTTCTACTAGTTCTTTCTCTTCAATTCTTGATTTTTTAGCTGGGTGAACACATTAAATCTTTATTCCAGTTCTATGAGATAAATCCTATCATGAATTCCACTTTAAAGACAAGGAAACTGTGTCAGAAATTTACTAATTTGCTAGGGTTATAAATGTTAAATCCAGAATCAATAGACCTCTCTCTGTCTCTCTGTCTCTCTCTCTCCCTTTCCCTATCGTTCATCTCTTCCCTTCATCCAAGCATTCATCTTCCCATCCATCCATTCTTCTAGTCCATTTCTGCATCTTCTTATTGCCGCAGGGACCCTTCTCCCAATCCAACCACCTGGTTCTCCATGTACGCGTGCATCCTCTCCCACCCGTATTCATCATGTTCCGGACACCCTGCTGTCTGGGATGGGAATGGATGGAAAGCAAGAGACTAACACATTGGCATGCGGCTTGGCTTCAGATATTTATTAAATTCTCTCACATTTGGCTTCAGTGGCTCAGCAAAGGAACAGAGCAGGACAGGGGTACGCGGTGCATCCTTCAACCATTGTAATCTCCAAGATGTCAGGTCTTGAAGTCTTCATTCCTAGTGGATGACTGATGAGTTGTCACTGCAAGAGACAGACAGCCCCTTTTGAGGACAACGCACCCACCCACAGTGCACCTTCCCATGAGGATCCAGGTAGGTGCCCCTGTCCCGAGAAGCCTGGCTTCCACACCCCATCCCTCACCATGAGGAGAAGTCTGGTGCTACCCATTTCTCCATCGTTTCCCCTTGGAAGTCATTGTTCGGTTCTCCATCGAAGTTTCCACAGGCCCCACATAGCATGCCAGCATGGTCATCATTGACCATCACATCCACACGCCCGTCGCTTCCCAGCTGCACCTGGACTCCTGCCTTCTGGCTTACTAGCGTGGAACCATCAACAGCCCGTTTGACTGACACAGATGTTAACACTTCAGCTGGGAGGTCCACATGTAGGCCATTCACCTGGCGGAGGGGGACAGGCAAACAAAGAGGTGAGGCCCAGAGCCACGGAATAGCAGCGTTATTACCAGCATAGAGATGGCTATGGCTTGTATCCCGATGTCCTCCCAAAGCCTCATGTGATTATAGGTACAGACTTATGAAGGAGGCTGGATTAGGGTGTGTGATGCTAGTATCAAGGGTGTGATGTTGGGATTAAGAGTGCCCCACCCTGCGTGTGAGTGGCACCACCCAAAATGTGGATAGCCTGTGTGGAATATGAAGGGACAGAAAGAAGCTGCTTCACTATTTTGCTGTTTTGCTGTCTTCTGCCTGCTCTGCTTTGCCATGGACTATTTCTCCTCTGCAGTGCCTGTCTGTCATGCCACCCTACCTTGAAGTCAGTCAACTATGGACTGAAATCTCTACAAAGTTTAACCCAGAATAAGCCTTTCTTCTTTTAACCTTGGGTATCAGATATTTTGTCTCAGCATTGAGAAAAGTAAGTAAGACAGAGACCCCAAGCAAAATAATGAGTTCAATGATCTGAAGCAAAGAGGCAGACGCTAAAAGAGGTGAGGTGCACCATGTGGGGGATGGATGTAAAAGAAAACAGCTGGAGCGCTGGGTGTGGTGGTACACACCTATAATCCCAGCACTCGAGAGGCTGAGGCAGGAGGATCCTTGCGAGTTTGAGATCAGCCTGGGCTACAGAGTGAGCTCAAGGCCAGCCTGAACTGCATAGCAAGACCCTGTCTCAAAAAGACAAAAAAAAAAAAAAAAAAGACAGCTGGAGATTTGGGTGTGCATGTAGTTTACTGTGGCATGTGTATTCCCATTGCATAGCTACTCTCAAATAAACTTACTCATGTTTGGGTAATCTTTCTGTTATTTAGGTTAACAAAAGATAGAATCATGGAAGAGGGAAGGAAGGAAGGAGAGAGGGAGAGATCTCCCCAAGATCAATGGAGAAAAGTACATTGTACCTGACAGATAAACAACCAGACCCCAGAGTCATCTTCTTCAGTTCTAGTTTTCAAAATAAAAGAATGCTTGGGTATGTCCTGTAAGTTACTGGCTCCGTAACAAAAATGACCTTATCCCTTAGTTTTGTAATGCTGTTGCCTAAGGTAGGTCATGATCTTAGCAAATAGAATCATGTGAGAATATTTCTGTTTCTTTACTATAGGCTGAAAACTCAGTAACTGTATATTTTCTTTAAATAACTGCTGCCTGTTTCAGTTGATGATTTAATCCTTCCAATGTTGGAGTCTCTTTGAAACTTGTTTGAAAGAGATGACCTCTCTGTCCAAATACTTTAGTGTCTCAATCTTCCTCTGCCAGATGGCTGGAGACATAGACAAAAAGGAAAGATAGGTACAAATCTGAGAAGATGGGTAGGTGGTTTGAAGGAAGGAAGGAAGGGAAAGGGGAGGGAGGGAGGGAGAGAGGAAAAATAAAGAGAAGTGGAAAACAAATCCTGGAAGGACAGATGCAGCGAAGGATAGTTGGAGACTCAGTGGATAGAAAGTCTTACCAGCTGCCAGCTTTTCAAAGAATTGGGTTTGAATCATCTCTGCTACCTAACATATACCTGGCACAGAAAGAACAGGGCTGATTTTATTCATTAAATCAAACTTTTCCTCGTACCCTCTAGCTGCAGGTCCTGATGTGGGTATTAGAGATAAGGGGGGAGTTGAGATGGGAAGGACCTCTGCCCACCTGAAGCTCATTTTCCAGTGATGGAGAAAGATGCTGAACACCTGGGAGTTTCCTTCTGCTAGTCTAAATTTTTGATATGTGTTAGGTAGAGGGTTTCTGCGTGACCAGCTCCCAGTGAAAACCCTAGACACTAAAACTTTAATGAACTTCCCTGATGGATGACATTTCACAGAGTTTTTGTTTTGTTTTGGTCTTTTTTTTTTTTTTGGTGTGTGTGTGTGGGGGGGTGTGTTTCTCTGGTACCGGGAAATCGAACTCACGACCTTGTGCTTGCCAGGCAGGTGCTGTGCCATGGAGCTAAAGCCCCCAGCCCCTTGTTCTGGTCTTCTCAATGATGACTTTGCCTGGTATCTTTCATTGTAATAATTCTTAGTTTAAGTGTAGCTGAGTCCTCCTAGTGAATCATAGAACGTGGGAATGGTCTTGAAGAACCCTGATATATCAGGTGACCCCAGCCTGACCAATCACTGCATTCCATCCCTAAGACCACAGTGACTGGTTCTAGTAGTAGACACGTGATACAAACTGGCCCGCAGAGATAAGATCCTAGACCTTTGTTTTATCACTGTCTGCTAAATAGCTTAGCTGATGGGGCAGCTGGCATGTTGTCACCGACCCTGTGAGAAAAAGGCCTGTCTGAGAAAGAAGGCGATTTGGTGAACAAGAAGTCTAAAAAGTAGAGGTACAAATCTCTGACAGTTTTGCCAGGACAACTACATCTAGCCACTCCGGAGGCTGTATCTTTGGATTTTCTAGTTATGTGAGACAATCAATTCATGTTTGCTTAAGGCAATTCTAACTTGGTTTTCTGTCACTTGCAACCAATGGAGCCTTGATTAATACTGATATCAAAACTACTAAGTTACTTGAGCATGTTTTTGCTCCTCAACAGCTCAGCCACTCTGATGGTGCACGCCTGTGATCACAGGAGGCTGAGGCAGCTATAGAGCAGGATCCAGTTGAACCCTGCCCCCGCAAAACTCAGCCAGAACAGAGTGACCAAGTCTGAAATATTTAAAATATTGATACAAATACAAACCCAGGAACCAAAAACTGTAGAGATCTGGAAAAGAGAAACAGCGAGGCAGCCAGGAGTGTAAGACACTGCAATATAAAGAACAAAAGCCCAAGGGAAGACGTCTCCTGCCATGCCCCCACTTACCCAGACGCCCTTGCTTGGGTTCACAGTCACTACCCCGTCCTGGAAGAAGATGTGGATCTTGCTCACAGCCTTGCCATTGTGTTCGCAGGTTTGGACATCAGCGACCACACGGTACCAGGGGATGCTATTCTGTAGTCCTGGGCAACGGGATGAGAGCTCATAGATGCCAGGGGAGTTAACAGTACTGTGGGCACCATCGAAGGTGGTGAAGTTGGCCCCCTTGGAGAGGGAACAGAGCCCACGGGCAGGCTGGCAGGCCCAGGATCCTTCCTGGAGAGCACAGACTTTGCCTGCTGGACAGCTAGCAGCCTTGCACGTCAGGCCAGTGCTTGGGGAACACGAACAGCACTCACTGCAGTCTGGCGTGAGCTGGGTAGAGTTCACCTGCACACAGAAAGGGGCCGGGTTGGAGCGGTGTGAGGGACTGCAGCCGAGGCCACACCTCAGCCTCTGCTTCATGCAGCGTGTGTTTTTGTTTTGCTTTTTGTGGTACTGAGGATTGAACCCAGGGCTCTTTGCCATGACCTACATCCCCAACTCCTTATTTTATTTCTTATTTTAAGACAGAGTCTTTCTTGCTAAGTGGCCAAGTTGCCCGGGCTAGGCTTGAACCTACGATCTTTCTGCCTGTAGCTCCCAGAATGCTGGGGTTACAGGCGTGTGCCACCACACTCGGCTTGCAGGGTAGTTCCTCGGCAGACTCCCATTCAGAAGCAGGATGCATTTCCCCCACCCATGAACCTGGGCTGTTCCCCAGACGGTGCTTTGTCCATAAAACAGCAGAAGCGCTGCTGTTGTAGCAGGTTTGTTTGTGACCCTCAAGGAAGCCGTCCCTTGCTGGGAATCCTGTCCGGCTGCCCTGAGAACGAGGCTGGATTAGTCCCCAGGAGGATGAGTGACAGCACAGAGCAGAGACAGCTCTCAGCTCAGGTCAGTCCCTACAGCTGGTCCTCCCAAACTCATTCAGCAGGGGAAACTTAATCCAACTATAGTGTTTAGAGGTGGAGCCTTTGGAAAGTGACTAAATTAGATAAGGTTACTGGGATAGACCCCACCCCCTGACTGAAGCATGGTGGCTCTGTAAAGAGACTCCACACAGTGACTGAGGTAAACACATGCTCCTGCTATAATGTGATTTACCACTAGGCGTGGTGGCATATGACTGTAATCTCAGCACCCAGGAGGCTGAGGTAGGAGCATTGCCACGAGTTCAAGGCCAACGTGTACTACATAGTGAGTTCAAGGCCAGCCTGAACTGCTGCATAGCAAGACCCTGTCTCCAAACAAACAAACAAGCTCTGGTGTGATTTATCCAAGCTGGAGCCTGCCTCATGCTTTTTGGACTTTGGTTCTCAAAACTGTGAGCTAAAGAAACCCTTTTTCTCTATAAAGCAGCCTGCCTCCAGTATTTTCTTACAGAGAGCTGACTGATGCACCACTGTAAGCCAGGCAGCCCTGAATTTTAGTCACCAAGTGACTAAAAATACAAGAGTTAGTTCAGGGTATAGCAGGAGCACTGCCCTACCCAAACTGCAGTCACAGACTTATGAACTAAATAAAAAGTGAATAAAATAAAAAGGATGGGCACTGGGGGCATCACAGAGTCCTGGTACCCACACCTTCTTCCAGAACACAACAGCCTGGAAATCCATTTTCAAGAATTGACTTTCTTCTGCTTTTTTCTCCCCCTCCTGACCTTCATTTTCTTTTCTTTCTTTCATTTTTTTCCTTCAGTGTGTGTACTGAGGATTGAATCCAAGGTGTTCACATCAAGCTACATCCTAATTTTTTAAAAATTTTTTGAGGCTGCTTCTGTTTATGTACAGGGTGAGGTTTGCTAGAGCAAGTGTGACGTGAGGTCAGCAGTTGAAACTCTTCATGAAGGGTATACAGGAGTGCTTTGTAGTATTCTTGCAACTTTTCTTAATTTTGAATTCTTCAAAAATAAAAGCTTGACAACTTTGAAAGAAAAAAAATCAAGGTGTTCAGCAAATACAGTCACCTCTGTGGATACCAAGATCTGAGGCTGTTCAAGTGCCTTATATACAATGGCACAGTATTTGCATTTTACCTATATACATCCTCCTGTACACTTTGAATCATCTTTAAGTTACTTTGATAAGACCTAATACATTGCTTCCAGAAATATTTGTTATACTATACAGTTTTGTTTAGGGAACAATGACAAGAAAAAAAATCTACATGTTCAGGACAGATAAAGGTTTCTTTTCAAATACTTTCATACTGCCTCTGCAGTCGTGGAACTTATATTAAGACAGGGGGGTGACTGTACCATCTCTATACTGACGACGCCCACATTTATATCCTCAGCCAGGCTTCTCCCCTGCACACCAAGCTAACAAATCTAACGCAATTTCCAGCACAGACAGAAGGGTTAGGGCTAAAATGGGGAGGTGCAGGCAAGGTTCAGGGTGGGACAGGGCCCTGGATGACTTCGGGCAGGCAGTGAGGCCCAAAAGAAGGACAAAAGCTTGACTCTGCTACCGGTAAATGCGTGTTAGTGCCTCTTGCTGACAAGAACCCCTGAACTGACGTCTCTATGTTAAAACTTCTATTTTGTAAAATGAAAGAGCGAGAGTACCTATCTCGCAGGATTGTTGCAATTATCAAACGAATTAACATCTGTAACAAATCGATGTGTAGAAAGAGCTCAAAACTCATTAACAAGAACAAACCAACTCTTCGATTTCAATTTGCACAAGTACATGATTGTTAGTTGGGCCACCCCTTGTACTGTTGTAAATTTCTGGTCTTTTCACTGAAGCCAATGAACAAGGAAGACAAGGTCCAGCACTCAGCAGACACCTTGCATTCATAACTGTACCCGATCCTCAGATTTCTCAGATACCTATGGTGCCAGGATGCTGATTAACCCATGACAGAGGTAAAGGAAATGAAGTTCAGGGAGGGAAGTGTAGTAGGCCAAGTTATAGCCCTGTAAAGCTATCTATCTGATCCTAGCCCTACAGCCAGTAAATGTCACCTTATGCAGAAAAGGGCGTGTGTAGATGTGACTACATCAGAGATCCTGGGGTGGAGCATTTATCCTGGGTTATCTGGGTGTGTGCTATACGCAATCACATGTACCTTTATAAGAAGGAAGCAGGGGAGGTTTTGTCATGCACACAGAAGAGGTGGCAGAGGTTGGACTGATCTCATCACAAACAAGGGACACTCGTGGCCACCAAAAGGGAGAAGGAGCAAGACACATTCTCCCCTGGACCCTCCAGAGACAGCGCCACCTGCCAATAGCCCGGGGATCCTGATTTCTGAGCTCTCACCTCCAGAACTGGGGGAGATACCTTTCTGTCATTTTAAGGTACCAAGTCTGGGATGATTGGTTACCGCAGCCATGGGAAACTAACGTGAAGAGGTTACTCACACCAAATCCCACAGCTGGGACATGGCGGTGGCTCCTTTATCCCCATCCTTGTGCCCTCTGCCCCTCCCACAGAGCAGCCCTTGCTCACCGGCAAGTATCTGCCATTATGGGTGCAGCCACAGTCTTGGGCAGGGATACAAACACCCTGGGAGAGCAGGAAGCGGTCATCACACTCACAACCCTCAAAGCAGCGGGTGGTGCAGCCTGTGAGGTCGGAGAGAGCTGCGCAGGAGGTCTGGCAGGAGTAGGTGCAGACCGAGTAGTGGCTGTGGGCCGGGCACTGGAGTGCTGCAGAGAGAGGGGGCAGGGCAGGGTCACACCTCCTCAAGGATACTGCGTACCTAATGGGACCTACTGTGCACCAGCCCTGAGTACTGCGGTGCTGAGGACAGAAGCGATGAGGACATCCCTGAGCCCTGCCTGACAGGACTCGCATTTGGCAGGACACACAGCAACAACCCAAAATGACCATGCTGCATTTGGGGAAGAGCAGACGGAGGCTGGGGCTGGGACGGGAAGGTGTGGGTTGGAGGTTGGACAAAGGAAAACTGGGCTAAGCAGTTGGTGGCTGGTGTGGCTATTCTACGAGAGGCACCAGGGCAGGGGAAAGAAGGATTAGTGTGGGTGACGCGCTGATATCATCGAGGAATGCAGCAGGTATGAGGGACTCTAAGGACACCCAAAGGAAATTATCCCGGAGGCCACTTGATCCTTGGGGCTAGCAGTCAGGAGATAGTTCAAGGCTGCAGACCGTGTCCCTTGTGGTACTGGGGACAGATCTGAGTCCTTGGGGTGCGTGACAGACCTGGGTGTGGATACTGCTCTGAGGAGACAGGAGACACGGCTCTGCTCTGGGGCATAAGGGGCCATGGCCTTGCACTGGAGAGCCTGAAGGGGCAGGTCCCTGCCCTGGGAGTTGAAGGAGAGGTACAATCCTGAATTGGGGGTCTGATGGCTGTGGCCTCATCAGGGAGGGAGTGGAGACAATGAGCCATGGATGCAGGCTTTTGTGGGAGCCTCGACCTGCCCAACCCCTTTCTGTCAGAAAGAGAAAGAGTCCTGTGGAAGAGGGGAACGTGAGGCGTGAGGTGAGGGCCCTGAAGGAGTCTGGGAAGGGACCAGCGGAGGGCAGGAGGGAAACCACAGAGCACACTGTGGGAGAAGCCACAGGGAGCAGCATAACAGGGAGGGACCGAGGGCGGGGTCAGGCATCCCTCCAGGGCCCGCCAACACTCACGGCAGAAGCTGTCTGTTCTCCAGGACTTCACAGTCGCACCAGCTGCCTGACAGTCTGCCGTGTAGGCTGCCAGGCTTCGGCAGAGGAAGGCGACGTTACCCTTTGAGGCACACTGGTCGTACACACATTGGCGGAAGTACTCAGAAGGACTGATCACCTCGTGGCAGGCCGAGAAGGGGCCCTGCTCGTCCTGGAGCCGCCCGCAGGCCTCGTTGCTCTCGTAGGTGGCTGTCTCCTCTGCCAAGCACACGGGGCAGCCCTGGGACCCACAGCCCTCGCTGCAGCCCGAGGAGGAATCGGGGGCCCGCCATGCCGTTCCAAAGGCCTCCACGCTGGGGGCCACCTTGCCATCCGGCAGGACAAAGTCGTCGCTCCAATTGCCGTTGAAGTTCCCGCAGAGGCCGCAGGTCCGGCCGCGGAAAGGGCTAGGGATGGACATGAGGACGTGGGCGTCACCATCAAAGAGAACCCGCAGCCCCTTGGTGGTCTGCAGAATCATGTTTCGGCCTTCGGCAGTCACCCGCACACGGCCCACGGCCACAGGCAGGGTCACATCTTCGCCATCCACAGTGACCTGGATGGAAAGGTCAGAGGGTTTGGGAATCACGGACTGCAAATACCGGTGTCCCTTCCCCCACCCCACAGCGCGGGGCGGTCCTCAGCTCCTCAGGTCCTCAGGACAGGGCTGTGCGTCCTTCAGTCCTATGGGGGTGGGATCATGTTTCCTTCAAAATCCCCTGCATGGGGCCACATCCCTTTAGACTCCCAGGGTAGTGCCGTTGCCTTCACACCCAGATCTTCCAGGCTGTGGCTGTGTACCCCTCAGGCCCTTTAGGCTGAGGCTATGGTGCCCTCAGAACCCCTGGGTGGATGAGGTTGTGTCCCCCTCAGAACCCCCAGGTGCAGGAGCTGTCCCCCTCAGGCCCCACAGGTAGGGCCGCGACTCCTTCAGAACCCTCTGGGCAGGCAGAGATGTGTTCCCCTCAGAAGCCCAGCACAAAGCCCTATACACCCACCTTCGGCCCTCCAGCCAGGCTCACAACCTGGCCGGCCACAGTAACCAGCACCCGTTGGGGTTCTCCAGCCTTGTCCTTCTCAAGCACAACGGAAAAGTCCTCATCGCCAGGGTTTGGATGGCAGACTTCGGCCAACACATAGGAGCAGGAGCCATGCAGGTCATAGACGCGTCCATCAAGGGTGAGGTAGTGGATGCCCCCACTGGCCAGGCAGCGGCCACAGCCCGTGGGATGGCAGGCCTGGACGCCATTCTCTACCCGGCACTCCTCATAGGGCCCACAAGCCAGGCCTTCCTGGCAGCTGACCTGGCCGCCTGGCCCACACTCACAGCGTCGCTCACACTCAGGGCCTGGGTAGAAAGCTGCGCCCAGGGGGTAGTAGCGGCCATCATAGAGACAGCCACACTGGCCCACGGACACACAAGTGTCCCCGCTAAGCACGAAGCCAGAGTTGCAGACACAGCCCTCCCGGCAGGTGGGTTCGCAGCCCTCGGGCGCTGAGAGGCTTGGGCAGCTGACAGGGCAGGAGTCACCGCAGAGCTCATAGTGGCTGTTGACAGGGCATTCGAGGGCTGTGGGGAATACAAAGGGGTGAGCCAGGCAGGTGCAAGGGTGGGACACAGGGGAAGGCCCTGACGGGGCCAGGCAGGCGGGAGAACCTGCCTGGGCTACCTTGGGTGTCTCTGGCAGGGTGTAGGGACCTGATACGTATGACCTGGTCTCTTCAACCAGGGTGTTGGTATCCTGAGTACTTCTAAAGATCAATGGCTCTGCCTGGTGAATTTGATCATGTACATGAGGCCAGGCTAGGCAGGATCTGAACCACTATGGGTATCTCTGGGTGTTGACATCATGGAGATATCAGACCAGCTGTAACTTGGGGTATCAATCTGCCTGAGAGTACCAGGCTGCAGTATCTGACGTGACCTAGAGCATCTGCCAGTCTCTCTGACACAGTCCATGTCAGGATGGGACTCTGACTGTGTGCATAATTGGCTGATGCTGGCGGGATGAACTTGACCCAGGAGATCTGCCTGAAGAGAATGACCTCGTCCTATTGGACTGCACTGATCTCCTTAGGGCTGTGTTTCTGATTCCATCTAGGTGTATCTGACCAGTGTGTCCCAGGGTATAATCTAACCAGATACCCCCGCAGGTAGATGACCATTTCTGTGTAAGCAGATGTATCCAAATGTACAGGAGAGTCCAGGGGCATCTGACCAGGTGTAGCTCACCAGGTCTCCCTGACCACAGGTTCCTTGCTGTTCGACTTAAACCAGATCAGCCTCCAAGTCTACCTGACTTGGATATCTGAGTGTGTGAATCCCTCAGCATATACTGGAACAAACATTTGTGAGCAGGTGTGTCTAATAGTCCCTCCCACTGCAATACCTGGCCTGGTCCTTGGTGTGTCAATGCCAAGGTGTTTTTCTGGCAGGAGATACAGGCTCAAGGGAAGGAGAAGGGGACCCAAGCTCCACAAAGGCAGGAATGCTCTTGTCTTAGAATCCTGGGAAGGGACAGTGAAGCCACCCATCATGGGAACCCTGCATGGATCAATACTCACGACAGAAGTCCGGTCGCCTCCACTCGCCGAGTTGGGCCCCAGCGGCCTGGCAGGCTGCCACGTAGGTGGCCACTGCCGGACAGAGGCCTCCCGGATGGCCCTGAGCCTGGCAGGCATCCAGCAAACAAGCCTTGAAGTAGTGTTCAGGTGGCACCAGGGTGTGGCAGGGTGCCAGCGGGCCATCGGGGGCGGAAATCACGCCACAGGCTTTGGGGCCGGCGAAGGCCTCCTGCTCCTCTGCAGTGCAGGGCTCTGGACAAGGCCCGGGCACACACTCCCCGCAGCCGGCGTCGCCGCCCACCTGCCAGCGGTCGGGCTTCCCTTCCACCGCGGCCAGATCGTCAGAGGGATCCTTGTTGTAGTTACCGCACAGGCCACAGAGGGCGCCCGCGTAAGCCGCTGGCACGTGCAGCCGTACAAAGCTGTCCCCGTCGAAAGACAGTGAGAGCCCGAAGTCCGTGGTCACCACCACATCGTTACCGCTCACGTAGGCATGCAGGCGCGAGTCGAGTTGGAAAGGCAGAGCTACGACCGTGCCATCCACCTGCGGGCATGAGGATCGGGGTGGGCAGTGAGCAGTGTGATTTGAATCCTGTCTCCATCACCTACTAGCTAGGAGACCCTAAGCACATGACTCCGCTTCTTACATTACCGGGAGCATCTGTAGACAGTGTTCTTGGCCCTTAAGCTACCTTTAAGCAGTTACTTCATGCTGACCCATTTTACAGCGGAATAAACTAAGGCTCAGAAAAGGGGAATCCGCTGTGCCACCCACCAGACTCCTAAGCCTACTTAATTATATCAACTTGATTGGCTTGAGAGCCACCTAGGGTATGGGTGGGGCACACTTCTGGGAGAGTCTGGGTAGGTCATGGAGCTATGGCCTTGAGGTCTGTCTGGTCACTGGTCCCTTCCTCTCTGGCACTGGTCCCCTGTTTGGCTTCCCTGCTGTCATGAGCTAAGCACCTTTGCTCCCCCATGCCTTTCCACCATGATATTTCTGCCTGGGAGCCAGCTTACCATGGACTGATCCCCTGAAACTGTGAACCAAATTAAACTTCCCCTTTAAATTATGGGTGCTGAATACTGAGTCTCAGCAACAGGAAAGGTAACTAATAAGAGCCTATACTCTGAACCCTCTGTCATGCCTCTGCTAAGCTGTGGAAGGCCTTCTGGGGAATGGCTGACCCCTTGCTATCTTGGGCAACCCTAGGCCTGTGTGTGTACCATCTGGCCCCTTGCCCTCCTCACCTGTAGCTGCCTTTTCCAGCGGGCGCTGAGGGTCAGGGCATGGCCGTACACATGTAGCGTGACGCTGCGAGTGTAGCTGACTGCCTGGCTGCCCCGGTGTTCATTGGCAACGGTGACGGTGAAGTTCTCAGTGCCCTTGGGCGGTGTATCGCAGGGTGCGCTCAGCAGGTACTCACAGGTGCCTTGGAAGTCGAATCGGTGCCCATCCAGGGTGACATAATGGGGGTCGCCCCAGGCTTGGCACTCAACTGTGCTGACCGGTTGGCAGCCGTACTGGCCAGAAGGCAGCAAAGCACACTCTTTGCCGAGCCCACAGCTGGCAGATGCGCAGATCAGTGAGCCACCCCCAGGTCCACAGTGGCACAGCCGAGAGCAGGTACCATCAGCCCAAAACTCGCTGCCAGGCTCATAATAGGTGCCATTGGCCCAGCAGCCACAGCCTCCATCCAGGGGGACGCAGTGCTCAGCACTCAACACGAAGCCTTCGTCACACTGGCAGCCCTCGGTGCAGGGACCCTCACATGCAGCTGGGGTCGAGGGAGGGGAGGGGGATGGGCAGCTGGCTGGGCAGGGTGAGCCACAGAGCTCGTAGTGGCTGTTGTCAGGGCAGGCCATCTCTGTGGGTGAATGAAGAAACAGGAGGGAGAGAAAGAGAATGACGTTGGGGGTGGCATCTGCAGTGGGGGTGGGAGGGGACAGCCAAACAGGGGCAGCCAGAAAGAGACGAAGAGAAAGCAAGAGACGCGGAGAGACAGAGAAGGACACAGAGTGAGACAGACAGAGAGAGACCCAGCCAAAGGAGAGAGGGAGAGAATGAGAAACAGAGAGACAGAGAGAGAATCAAAGGGAGATGCGGAAATAAAGAAAAACAAGCAGAAAGACCCAGAAGGACAATCCCCGCCCACTCCCTGCCCTGCTCTGCTCCCCAACACTCACCACAGCCCGCCTGCGTTCTCCAGTCCCCAATGGTGACCCCAGCGGCCTGGCAGGCAGCAGCATAGGCAGCCAGCGCCTGGCAAAGTATGTCCTGGGCCCCACCACCCAGGCAGACATCCAGGACACAGCCCTCGAAGAAGCTTTCGGGTGGCACGTGGGAGTGGCAGGCGGCAAAAGGGCCTGTTGAGCCGGGGGCCAGAGGCCCGCAGAAGCCGGGACCCTCATACTTTTCCTGTTGGTTCTCAGAGCACGTTGGGCAGGACCCCTGACATTCGTCCCAGCAAAATGGGTCCCAGCCTGGAACTCGCCAGCTGCCGCCCCAGGTGGGTATTGAGGGCGCCAGGGTGCCGTTAGGGAAGACTCGGTCATTGCTGGGATTTTGGTCCATGTTCCCACATAGCCCGCACACCGCACTGTGGTAGCTACTGGGCAGCGTCACCTCTACCCGCCAGTCCCAGTCGTAGCTGACTTGAAGCCCGAAGTCAGTCACCAACACGGCCTTTCCGGGGCCATGGGTCACCGAAATCCGCCCGCCGGCCACAGAGACAGGCAAGGCTGTCAAAACATTGTTCACCTGGGGAGAGAGGGAGGCACAAGGGTCACGGAGGTAGGGTGACCTCAGCTCTGGCTCCTTGCTTCCCTCACCCCCTCATCCTGCCAGAGGCTGACAGCTGCCAACATCGGCCTCCTAACTGCAGGTTGTAAAGTCATTTTACAAACACGGATGTCTGCTCTCACCCAGGCCCGGGGGAATGAGACTTCACACCTGCTCTTTCTGGTTGTCTCTCTTGTCTAGATCTCTTTCCTCTCCCTGCATGTCCCTTCCTCTCTCTCTCCCTGCATCTGTCTCCCTTTCCAGAACCTTGTTCTTGGTATTTTCTCTCTGGGTCTCTGCCTCTGCCTTCCCTCTCCTCATTCCCTGTGCTCCTCTGGGTGGCGATGTGTTACTCACTCACTGTCACTTCCTGAGAGCCTTTCCCCTGCCCTGCCTCCCTCTGACCCTGGAAGCAACTGCCAGTTCCTCCCCTCTCCTCACTTCCTTGATGTTCATTTGTTCCCTGGCAAACACCAGGCCAGACCCTGAGCTGACCCTTGACCTGCATCACCTTGGTGTGGCACAGGACCTGCTACGATGCCTGTTTCACAAATGAGGATGCTGGGGCCCATGAGTCAAGTCACCTGCCCCACATTACAGAGCTCCCAAGAAGCAGGGCCTAGATTCAGATCCAGATCCAGAGCTTGGGATACAGCTCAGCAGCACAAGCGCCTACCTGGCAAGTGCAAGGCAGTTAAGTTCAATTTCCGGTACCAAAAAAAAAAAAAAAAAAAAAAAAACCAACAACAACAACAACAAAAACACATCCAGATCCACACAAAGGCAAACGCTGCAGTACTCCACTAGAGCTAAGGGTTCTCCTTAAGAGGGCAATCGTTTGCTGTGTTGGTTGTGGTTTCTGTCGCCATTTTGTTGCAGGCCTAGGTAAAAGGACTTTGACTCCTAACTGTAGCTTTCAGAACCCCTTGTGCCCTGCTGGGGTGCTCAGGGGTCCGTCCTGCTTACATACCCGGACTCTGCCGATCTCGCCCTTATGGATGGAGATGTTGGTGCCAAGGGCAGACACGGTGACGCGCTTCACGTAGGACACGGCAGGGTTGCCGCGGTTCTCATTCTTGGTGGTGACCGTGAAGGGTGTCAGGCCCTCAGCACTGACCCCTGGGCAGCCCACTGCTGCCAACACGTAGTCACAAGTGCCCTGGAAGTCAAATTCCCAGCCATCGAAGGAGTGGTAGTGGGGGTCGCCCCACAGCCAGCAGGTGACCTGGGACTTGGGCACGCACACGCCCTGGCCATCCTGCTCTTTGCATGTCTCCTGTGGCCGGCACGTCACACCATGGCATGGATCTGGGGGAAGACAAAAGGGGCCTTGAGGGGCTTCCCACAATAAGGACGGCCTCTACCCAGCATCCGCCCCGGTCTGTAGCAGAGATACTGGCTATGAAAGCTACTAAGGTGAAACCAGAACGACCTAAGACCTAGGCCTAAGGCCAGGCCTGGGAGTCCCCAAAATCTGACTCTCAGGCCCTGTGGTGGGTGATGTCCACAGATCAGGTGTCAAGGGACCCACATCTGAGATCCAGGCCCCAGAGGCCCCTGCAGCCAAGCCTCAGGCCCTGGCAGCCTTTCCCCTGACACCCAGACCCTGTGCTTTGCTGTTTGAGACCCAAGTCCTGGAATCCCTGGGGCCAAGACATAGACTCCAAGGTTTCCTTGCTTGAGCTCTCAGCCTCAAGTTAAGACCCACACCCCAGTCCCTGTGTCCACTGCGGGCATCCCTGCCTGAAATGCCAGCCCCAGGTTCCCCCATGCCCAAGACCCAGTCCTCGGGTCTCATGCCCAACACCAGGCCCCACCTTTCATACCCTAGCCCTGGGATCCCCATCTGAGACTCCCAGCCTAGAGATGCTGGGGTGTAAGACTCCATCCTTAAGGACTGCTGGATCTATCTTTAGTGGTCCCCTTCCCTCCCTCCCTCCCTTCCTTTCTTCCCTCCTTTTTCTCCCTCCCTTTCTTCTTTCTTTCCTTTTCTTTTTCTTTCTTTCTTTTTTCTTTGAGACGGGGTCTCACCCTGTAGTTCAGGGTGGCCTTGAACTTGCTTATGCAGCCCAGGCTGCCCTTGAACTCACGGTGATCCTCCTGCCTCAGTCTCACAAGTGCTGGGATTATAGGTGTGCACCACCATGCCCAGCTCTTCCTTCTTTTCTTCTTTCCCTCCTTTTTGTAGTATTGGGGACTGAGCCCAGGGAGCACTGAGCTACACCCTTAGCCCTTTCTATTTTTTATTTTGAGAAAGAGTTGCACTGAGTTGGTAAATTGTCCATGTTGGACCTTCTGTCTCAGCCTCCTGGGTAACTGGGATTACAGGTATGTGCCATACCCTCCACCCCAGCTAGGGGTCTCATTTCCGAAGCCTTATCCTGGAGTGCTCCTGTGTCCAAGACCCCATCCTTAATGTCACTGTATCCCATGGTCCCTGTTTTCAGAATCTTCAGTGTCCCGGTAGCCTGTCTTCCAACGTCCTTCTCTCTAACCCTCTGCCCAGTAGCAATGCATTGCTGCTTGCTCCAAATACACTCAGAGTTAAACTTTGTCAGTAGAGGGCGCTAGAGAGTCACCGCAGCACAGCCAGCCTGCTGTGCTCTTCCAGCTCCTGTGGCAATGGCGGGTGGGACACCTACTTAGTGGCCCCAAGCTTGCTTCTCCGTGGGTCACCCATGGGTCCCTACAGGCAGCTTCCCACTGAGCTTTGCCAGCACCTTAGTATGGGTTTCTTTCCTGCCAGCTCCAGCTTGTACATCTTCTGCTTCCCAGCGGGCTGCGGGGAGAGCGGAGCGAGCACCAGGGTTGTTCCCCATTTCTGCTTTCCTGATGTGCTCTGCTGGAGCCCAGGGAGCTCCGCCCTGTATCTGTGGAGTTTATATTTCTCAGTGGTCCCCTTGCCCTTTCGCAGTTAATCCCCTTGTAGTGGTAAGTCCTTTCCTTTTTTTCTTTTGCAGTGATGCTGGGGATTGATCCCAGGATGTTGTACATGCTGGAAAAGTGCTCTACCACCGAACTACATCCCTAGACCATAAATCGTTCTCCCATTAAACTCCCCGCTCAATTGACTGTGTGGTGCTGGCTCCTGAAGGACCCTGGTGATGTACCCTGCCCCGGGCTCCTTGTTATTTGGCTCATTAGCCCTGAGGGTCTCAGCTCCTGCTCCTCTGTTCTGGAGGTTCTGTTTTTTAATTCTTTGAGGGTCCTCAGCCCCGAGTGGCTCTGTGTCCCTGATCTAGTCTGGAGAGTCTATATCTGAGACTAGACCCCTAGAAACCCTGATCTTCTGCTGGAGGGGACTCCACAGCCAAGGTCCTGCCTTGGTGAGGCCTCTACCTCAGCCTTGGGAGCCCGTGCCTGAGACCGTAGAACCTGTGCTTTGGCCCCCTAGTGTCCCTGCTGGCATCCAAAGCTCTGAGCCTAATCTCACAAGCCAGTGGCCCACAAACTCTGGTGCCAGTTGCCTGTCTTTATAAATAAAGTTTTATTGGAGCTGCTGACTTAGTCTACACCTGCTTTCATGCACAGTGGCAGATCTGAGCATAATGATTGAGACCGGGTGGCCTGCAAGCTTCACTACTTACCTTTTTCGAGAAATGCTCAGCCAGAGAGAAGGTTGCCTCTCCCCGTCTAATGCAGAGAGCCTCTGACATCTGCCTGGGTTCCCACCGCCTGATGCCCTCTGACGTACTTGATTCCCCGACTGGATGAGCTCTGCCCTTAGCTCTGAGACACCAGGGCCTGACACCTCCACCCTTAGCCCTCAGCACCTCCCACCATGAAGCCGTGCCTCCCGGCTCCCTGTCCTCCATCCCCAGCCCCACAGCCCCACAGCCCCACACCTTTTTTGACGCAGCTCAGGATGCCGCCTGAGGGCTCGCACACCTCCCCTGGGTTGCAGCTGTGGTCCTGGCACACCATGCCTTTGCCTGCATGGCACACACACTTCTGCTTGCAGTTGTCAATGAGTACCTTCTCCTCTGGCTGTGGGGACAGAGGGCAAAGCCATCAGGGACCCCTTGATGGGAGCCAACTCTGGCATCTCTGGAGGGTGGTTATAGGCACAGAAGGGCACAGTGGATGTGAAAGGGGGCATCCATCAGCAGGGCCCTTGGCTTTGGCCACAATTTATTCATTTATTTGTTTATGTCATTCATTTACTCTCTCATTTATTCCAGACTATCCAGTAAGGTGGGCGTGGTGGCACATATCTGTAATCCCAGCACTTGGGAGGCTGAGGCAGGAGAATCATTGTGAGTTTGAGACCAGCGTGGGCTACAAAGTGAGTTCAAGGTCAGCCTGAATGACATAGTGAGATCACGTCTCAAAAAGACAAAAAAGAAAAAAGTTCAAACTAGCCACTAAACACTGCTATATCAGAGAAATAGTGAGAAGTAATAATTAAGAGCAAGCCACATGGTTTTAACCTGTTTCTGCTATTTCCAACTACATAACTCTGGACAACATTACTTAGCCTCTTTATGCCTCAGTTTCCCCTTCTGAAAGTTTCAGATAATAATGGCATCAACTGGGCCAGGGATCTAGCTCAGTGGCACAGCACCTGCTGGGCAAATACCAGGTCCTGAATTCGAATCCTGGTACCAAAAAAAAAAAAAAATAGTAGTATCAACCTATGAAAGTGTAACTTATTAACAGCATGTGTGAAATATAGATAAAAGGAAAAGGGATTTCCTGCAATAATCCAGACTAGAGGAAAGTGGGGTACAAATGAAATAAGATGGGAAAGCGCTGGTTATTTTGGGAGCCAAGTAACGAGTAGGTACACGAAGCTTCATCCCACTGTTCTCTTGACTTTTGCGTGTTTGAGAATTTTCTTAATAAAAGGTCTATCTGTGAGTGTAGATGTACACAGTAGGAACCATCCATCCCCATATTTACGGTTATTACTCTAATTCATGCGAGGAGAACAACAGAGCGGCTTCCTGCCCTTGCAAAGCTGTTAGTCCTGAGCGGTACACATCCATGACCCCAGCACTCTGCGAGGCTGAGGCAGGAGGATTGAGAGTTCAGGCCCAGCCTGAGCAACTGAGCAACTTAGCAAGATCCTATCTTAAAATAAAAATAAAAAAGGGCTGGGTTACAGCTCAGTATAAAAACTCTGGGATCAACCTCCCGGTACTGAGAAAAAAAACAAAAAGAAAAAAAAAAGCAAGCATACTCTCAGTCCTGCGAGAGTCAGGCTTTAGACAAACACTCAAGATAAAGGACCAGGACTCCGGAGAAGGAAAGAGGGAAGCAGAAGGAGCTGGTCAGCAGCTGGTGTAACAGAGACAAATGTCATCTTTGTGCTCGAAGGCCACCTCTGCCCAGATCTGGGATACGTAGCTGAGTCTTTGCCAGGCGCAGTGCTGCATTTCTGTAATCTCAGCTACTTGGGAGGCTGAGGGCAGGAGGAATGCAAGTTTGAGGTCAGCCTGGGCAATTTAGCAAGACCCTGTCTCAAAAAATTTTTTTAAATGAGCAGGGATGTAGCTCAGCGGTAGAGTGCTTGTCTAGCATGCGCGAGGCCTCAGGTTTGATCCTGACGCGGGGAGCCGGGGGAGGGTTAGGCTCCATGGTCGCATTTGGAAAACTCTTTCGCACTGCCATATAGAGGGTGGGCCGGAGGAAGCAAAAGTAAGGGCTAAGAAAGGACGTAGTGGACCAAGGTGGGACCAGGGGCAGAGGGATGGGGTGAGATTCAGTTGGCCGAGGCTCTAGGGCTGACGGGTAGTTGGCAGGGGGGGTCCCGATGCTGTCCCAGATGGCTGGGTTCCTACCTCATAGTAAGCGCCATTGTGGTAGCAGCCGCATTCCTGGATGGGCACGCAGGCTTGGCCATTGTAGAGGAAGCCAGAGTCACATTCACAGCCCTCAGCACACCCATCCGGGCACTGCAGTGGGGCACTGAGAGCCGAGCAGCCCAGCGAGCAGACGTCGGCGCAGAGCTCATAGTGGCTGTTGTGGGGGCACTCCATCGCTGCGGGAGCGGGGAAGGCGGTCAGACCACTGCCCGGGTGGCGCTGCCGGGTGCAAGGTCTCCTCCTGGGCCTCTGCCTCCCCTCTACCTTATCCCTCAGGGTCCCCATCACTCACGGCAGAAAGAGTCGGTTCTCCAGGGCTCCACCTGGCCTCCAGCCGCCTGGCAGGAGCTCACGTAGGCATGGATGTTGTGACAGAGGATGCTCAGGTTCCCGCCACCCAGGCAGAGATCGAAGACACAGTCCCGCAAGGGGCCCTGGGGATCGATCAACTCGTGGCAGGCAGCCAGCGGGCCCTCGGGGCTGGACAGCAGGCCGCAGAACTCCTCCTTCTGGTACTTCTCCTCCAGCTCGGAGCTGCACTGCTCCTCGCAGCCCTCCTCCCCGGGACTGCAGTCTGGCGTGGGCTCACAGGGGGAATCCGGCACCGGCTCCTCCCAGGAGTTGCCGAACTCATTGGGGTTGGCTGCCTGGGAGCCATCGGGCTTCTGGAAGTCATCCTTGGGGTCACCGTTGTAGTCTCCACACAGGCCACACATCTGCTTATAGTAGTTGCCTGGGACAGTGACCCGCACATAGTAGACGAGGTCATAGGCCACACGCAGGCCAAAGTCGGTCTCGATCACAGCGTCCGAGCCGTGCTGGAAGACACGGATCTGACCCCCAGCCAGTTCCACAGGCAGCTTCATGTCCACACCGTTCACCTGGGAGGCAAGAGATGCTATCCTTCAGAGGGGACACTTGGATCGGTCTCTCAAATGTCCCTTCCTGACACTAAAGAACTGTGTCACCCAGTCAACCAAGGTGGCACATGCCTGTGATCCCAGTGCCCTGGGAGGCTGAGGCAGGAGGATCTCAAGTTTGAGTTCAACTTGAGTGACTTTGCAAGAGCCTGTGTCAAAATTAAAAAAAAAAATTTTTTTAAAGGGCTGGGGAGGTAGCTCATTGCAAATGCCCTGAATTTAATCCCCAGTACTAAATAAATAAATAAATAAATAAAGTTTCAACCTCATAGAGAAGGTGGGGGCCCAGTGAGATGCAAATAAGAATCCTACCTTCTATGTGTCTGGAGCTATCTAGATGTCAGGTACTACTCTAAGGACTTGGGATGTGTTAGGGGACACTGAATGGGGTAACACGAGCCCTGAGCACCCAGGAAAGTCAGCTGAGTGCTCACCGCGACTGCTACAATGGTTGTGTGCCAGCTTTTTAGTGGGATCTCTGGGGACATTCTTCCAGTGTAAACTGAAATGCCAGTTTCCACGAGAGACCGAATTCTTTTTCGGTCAGAACAGCACTGCGGAGGGCAGAGCCCAGCCCACCTTCTCCTGGCACACGATCCTAGGTTCAAATCCTGCCCTTTGCTAGGGGGGCTTTGGGCTTTAAAAATAAAAATGAAGCAGATCGTGGTGCCTCCAGGTACCGTGACAAGCTGAAGTGATGCTGTGGACATGAAGGGCTTGGCAGTCCGCAAAGTCTGGGGGCAGTGTGTGAAATCTGTGGGTGTGCACTGTCGATGTCATGGAGCGGTGAGGTCAGCGACAATTGTCCCTTGTCCTTCAGCCCCCCCCCATTTGCTCACTGTGCCAAGTCCTCTGGTGAGTGGGAGACCCGGGAGGTAGCTGGGCAGGACCAGGTTTCAGAGGAGGAGGAGGAGGTCGAGGCAGAGATACTCGGAGGGAGAGCCTGAGCCACCTGGAGCGGGTCCTGAGGCCTCCTCCCTCCTTAGCTCAGCCTCTCTGCAGCACCTCACGCCTCCCACATCCACACAGCTGTGTGCCCGCCTCCTGGACTGAGCGCGCCCCTACCACCCCTCCCCCGCAGAGTGCCTCCCCCAAGCCCACCTTCCTACTCACCCTGACTTTCCACTGGTTCTGCTCCAGTCGAAGGGTGTAGTTACCCACGATGACCGTGATCACCCTGGTGGCGCTGACGTGCCCATTGCCCCAGGGCGCGTTCTCCTGCAGGACGGTGAAGTTGTGCAGGCCGGGCTGGGTCCCACAGGTCTGAGCCAGCACGTACACACACATGCCCATGAAGTCGAAGCGGCGGCCGTCGAAGGTGGTGTAGTGGGGGTCTCCCGATGCTTGGCAGGTGGTAGAGCCCACAGGCACGCAGCCCAGGACGCCATTGGAGGGCTGGCAGGCCTCGTGCGGGCCACAGCTGGAAGGCTCACAGGACACCAGGCCGCCCGCCTGGCAGTGGCAGAGGGAGTCACAGCCAGGCCCAGGGTAGAAGGTCTGGCCCGGAGGGTGGTAGATGCCTTGATGTACACAGCCGCAAGAGGCCAGTGGGACGCAGGACTCACCACTGAGGGCGAAGCCGTCATCACACACGCAGCCCTCAAAGCATTCTGAACCACAGCCCCCGGACACCGGGAGGTCCCCGCAGGACAGCGGGCAGCCGTAAGAACACGGCTCATAGTGGCTGTGAGGAGGACAGCTCGGCGCTGTGGGGAGAGAGACTGTTAGCTTCGGGAATTCTCATTCCAAGACAACACAGTTAATCCCCAACATTACAGGTGCAAACACACTCACACACACAAGTTGGCCCTGCCGCACAAGCCCCTCTGCTCAGTGAGGCCTGGGAAACACCCTGTGTTAGATAGTCTGACCCTGAGAATTAAGATTCTATTCCCAGCTGGGAAAGCACCCGGGACAGTGGTACAGGTCTATAACCCTAGCCCTCTGGGAGGCTGAGGCAGGAGAATCACAAGGTCAGACCAGCCTGGGCAATCTAGGGAGACTCTGCCTCTCAAAAATAAAATTAGAAAGGGCTGGGGATGTAGCTCAGAGTGAAGGCACTGGATTCAATTCCCAGTATCACCAAACAATAACTTTCTAAAAAAAGAGTGACACTTTAGTTCCTTGGTCACAGCAGTTTCAAATGCTGAACAGCCATGGGCTCTGTGTGGTAATGATGAGCACTCCGGACTCTGAATCAAGTGCTCAAAAGCCATCTTCTGACTTCGGTGCAGATGTTCCTTGTGTAAGGACCTTCAACTATTCAGACTTATAACTAAAGCACACCGTTCGGACTTACAACCTGCCATTCAGACTAAAGACCCTTTTTTTTTTTTTTTGAGTCAAGGTCTCACTGTGTAGTTCAGGCTGATCTTGAACTCACTATGCAGCCTGGCCTTGAACTCAAGATGATCCTCTTGCCTCAGCCTCCCAATTGCTAGGATTACAAGTATGTAACACCATGCCTGGCTCGTCTTTTTTTTTTTTTGGTACAGTTCTGTACATCTTATTTATAGAGTCTCAGTTTTTTTGTACAGTACACCTTGTTTATACAGTACTCTAATTTTTGTAGATTGTACTGTACAGTGCTGTGCTCTTACATTCTGTTACACATTACAGTAACGACTGTGAGAGTTATGCAAATAAAAATGAAGTCATCGGGTTGGAATATCCTCTCGCAGTTTCTTTGTTCTGAATCTTGCACATACTATACACAGTTCCTCATTCAGCAGCCAGTTCCCTTAAGGGCCTTGCTGTGGGAGCAGGACTCAGTCACTATATAAGTGTCTGTGCTAGTTTGGGCCAATAAGGCATTAGCAAATGCAATGTCAATCAGGGCTTTGAAAAGTACATGTGTGCCAGGCAGAGGGCACACTCTTGTAATCCCAGATTACTTGGGAGGCTGAGACAGAAGGATCAAAAGTTCAAGCTCAGCCTTGGCAATGTAGCAAGACCTTTTCTCAAAATATAATTTAAAACGGGCTGAGGATATAGCTCAGTGAAAAAGCACTTGCCTAGACTATGCAAGGCCCTGAGTTCTATCCCCAGCACTGGGGTGATGTTTCTGCCCTGGGGTTTATTGATGTTCTTGGGAATCTTGAGATCACCTTGCCAGGAAGCCTGGGCCACCCTGCTAGAAGCTGAGGCCAAGTGAAGCAAAGACAGGAAGGCCCATCTGAGGTGCTCCCTCAAACCACTAGCCTGACTGATGGCTCCCGGATGTGTAGAGCCGTCAGAGATCACCCAGCCTCCGCTGAGCTGCCAGCAAACCGCAGACAGCAACAAGGCTGGTCTAGATTAAGAGAACAGCCCAGCAGCCCCCAGAATCATGAGAAATAATAAATACAATTTGCTTTAACACACTAAACTTTGGGGACTGTTTGTTACACAGAAAAAGCTAACTGATGCTGTGATTTTTAAAAAACACTTGCACAGATACAAATATGTTACATTAGGTGAGATCCTATTAAAACTAAATACCCCCTAGAACATCAGTTCAACAAGACAGATTTTCTTCTTTCTCTTCCTCTATTGTGTCCCTAGTGCCTAGGACAGGACCTGAAATTTGATAAGTGTTTAACAAATACAGTCATTGTTGCTAAGTGACCGGGATAAGTTCTGAAAAAAATGTATTATTAAGATATTTTGTTGCCAGGCCTGATGGTTATCAAAATATTGAGGTAAGAGGGTCACAAGTTCAGCAGGTTAGTGAGACCTTATCTCAAAATAAAAACATTCAAAAGGGGTGAGGATGTAATTAGTGCCAACACTCTGGGTTCAACTCCCAGTATCAAAAAGAGAAAAAAAGAGAGATTTTTGTTGTGTTGTAAACATCATACAGTCTACTTAGAAAAACTAAGAAGGCTATGATGCCACTAGAAAATGTAACGTTATGGGACCACCATTATATATATGGTCCATCATTGACCAAACTATCATTGGGTGGCATCTGACTGTATGTGTTATATGAATAACTGAATGAAAGAATATAAGTTGAAGGACAAAAAAAGGATTGAATGACTTTCATGTATTTATTATGTGTATTTTCAGTAGACAGTGGTGATGCAACTGTATGCTGTGTATCTACTGAATATATTTAAAAGAGTAACAGAGTCAGGTAACAACTGGATTTTTTTGAAACAGGGTTCTCGCTTTGTAGTTTAGGTTGGCCTCAAACTCACTATGTAAACCAGGCTGGCCTTGAACTTGTAGCAATCCTCCTGCCCCAGCCTCCCAAGTGCTAGGATTACAAGTGTGCTCCACCACACCTGGCTAGAACAGTAGGATTTTTAAATGTCAATATTATATGACCAATTTGGAAACTACATGATGGATATCTGAGGATCGCATAGGTCAGGGTACCTAGTATTTTTTTTTCTTGAACTTGTGACTGTTTACGAAGATTTGCTGAGGTGCTAGAGTTGATCGATCTGTTTGCTTATGGTATGTACATATTTTTAAGTAAATGTATTAAATTTCACAGTAAATTTAACATTTTAAACTCAGGTGAGGGGATGCATAGCTTTCAAAAGTTCTTTGGCAGCAAACAGAAATGTTTGCAGATCATTTCTGCACTCATGTCTGAAGCAAAGTTTTGTCTCTCCTGCGTGTGTGTGTGTGTGTGTGTGTGTGTGTGTGTGTGTGCATGCGCTGGGGATAGACTCAGGGACTTGTACATGGTAGACAAGTGCTCTACCACTGAACCACATCCCTAGCCGTTTTTAGGTTTAGTTTGAGGCAGCGTTTCACTAAGTTGCAGGCTGGTCTCAACCTCTCCAACTTCCTAACTCAGCCTCCTGAGTAGCGGGGATTATAGGAAACCAAGGTTCTCCCGCTGCCTCCAAGGGGCCAGGCAGATGTTGTAAGCAGGCAAAGTAGGCGGATGGAACCACGCTCCTCCTAAAAGCAGCACTGCTCTGTATGACAACTACCATATAGAAATCAGACTTGGGCCACCAGGTATACCCTGTCATCATACAAATAGTGACCGAAGACCTCCTGTCTGTGACATCCTAGCTTTCACGATTCCAGGTGTGCAACTGAAAGTTTCTAAACCTGTTTCTTCATCTGATACATGCGTATAAGCACAATCCCCCCTTCAGGCGGCCCTTGTAAGAACTAAACGCATGAGCCATCCTCCCTTAAGGAGAAATATGAGTCTGCGCCCCCAAGTGGCCACTCTCGGTACTCACGGCAAAGCTCCTCGGTCCTCCAGGGATGCACCGTGGCGCCCGCAGCCTGGCAAGCAGCGGCGTATGTGGCCAGCGCGTCACACAGCAGCCCGGACTGGCCCGGCAGCAGGCAGAGGTCGTAGACACAGTCGCGCACCGCACCCTGCGGGTCCAGCGCGTCGTGACACTCCCGGAAGGGCCCGTTGGGGTCAGCAATGATCCCGCACTCCTTCTTGCTCTGCAGCTGCTCGGCCACCATAGAGTCCAGCGTGGGACAGTCACCGGGGTTACTGGCCCCGCAGCCTTGAATGGTCTCCTCCTGCCAGCTGTTCCCGAAGTCCAGGGCGTTGGCAGCTTGGCCTCCGCCCCGCAGAGCCAGATCGTCGGCCGGGTCCCCGTTGAAGTTCCCGCACAGCCCACACAGGGCCTCGGCGTAGCTGCCAGGCACCTTGGCAGTCACTTGGGCGTCCCAGTTGTAGGTGACAGTCAGGCCAAAGTCAGTGCACACGACACCGTCGTTGCCCTGGCGGAACACCTGCACCTGCCCGTCTGCGGCCTGGAAGGGCAGGTAATGAAGGATACCGTCCACCTGGAAGAGATGGCGGGCCACAGTCAGCACAGTCAGGGCTCTGGGGCTTCCTCGCTCACTTAGCCCCAGCAACCCGGCCTCCTTCTTTGGTGGGTTTTTTTTTTTTTTTTTTCCTTTCACTGCTGGGAATTGAGCCCAAGCCCTTCACACTAAGCTACATCCCCAGGCCCCTTTTTATTTTTTATTATGAGACAGGATCTCACTAAGTCATTAAACTGTCCAGTCTAGGCTTGCATTTGTGGTTCTCCTGCCTCAGCCTCCCAGTAAGCCGGGATCACAGGCGAGCCCTAGGCTCTGACAGTCCTCAAACTCTCCCATGGGTAGTTGAGCCTCAGGCGCTTTATGTTTTGCTAAAAACACCATCCACCGCTTTCTTCTTGCTGCATCCACTTTATCTTCTCACCTCAGCCTAAATCCAAACCCTTTCCTACACGGTCCTGTTTGATCTTGGCCCTGCTCGTCTTTGTGCCTACAACACTGACCACATCACATCGGCTCCTTGCTGTCTCCCTGAACACAGCACATGCATTCCCACCCCAGGACCTTTGCACTGGCAGCACCCTCTTTCTGGAATACCAGCCATCACTCTGTATCTGGCTGCTTTATCTTTTAGGTGTCAGCTTTGGTCCAAACCCCTTACGGTGGCCTCAGAGGCCCTAGGGCAGTAGTGGTGAACCTATGGCACATGTGCTGCAACAGGCATGCAGAACCTTCTCTGACGGGACTGGAGCCAAGTTGCCCCAGCAAGCAAGTATCCGATGACAGTTGTTTTTTCTAAACTAAAACCTCAGTATTGAGGTTTAATTGCAGTGGTGGCACTTTGTGATAACTAAGTGGGTTCTGGGCTGCAGGTTGGGCCCTTGGTCTCTAAAAGCTTCGGCATCACTACCCTGGATGATCAGAGTCCTATTATTCTCCAGTTTAATCTCCCAGTGCCCCTTCCCCCTGAAACTCCAGCCATACCAGCGTCTTGAATCTACCAGAAGCTCAGCCCAGCCTCAGGGCCTTTGCATGTGCTCTACTTCCTGCTTGCACCCCTCCCCCCATCTTCTACATCCATACTCTTTGCCTTTCTGACTCATCTATCTCCTGCTCCAGCCCATCTCCCCACTATATTCTCTAAGAGCATACTATCAGCCTCAGTGCTGTTTTTCTGTGCTCTTTAAACTCAGTCCCACCTCAGTTTTTCCCCTGCTGTTCTCTCTACCTAGGAGTCACCACTCTTCCTCTAGGGGCCTCCACCTTTGCTGAGATCAAAAGCCAGATCTTAGCCAGCTTCTGTCTTGTCCTACCTTACTCTTCCTTCAGTCCCTCCACGCCAGCCCCACTGGGCTCCTTGCCATTGCTCAGCCCCTTGAGCTCATCTCTGTCCCCAGGACCGTTGTACTTGCTGTTCCTTCTTCTTTCCATCTGCTTCTTCCCCTGCCCATTTGCTCTCTTCCCTCAGGACAGGCAATAGATTGTAATGGTTAAAAGCAAGGACCCTGGCACCAGTCCAGCTTCAAATCCTTGCTCCACCTGCCACAAACAGGTGATTCAACTCCTCTGTGCCTCAGTTTCTCCACCTGAAATGAACTACTTCACAGGGCTGCTGTGGAGAGAAGCTGAATTCACATGTGTTGAGCATTTAGCACACTGAAGTAACAATTCAGGTTGGTTATTATTATTCACGCCTCAAGTGAAATGTCATCTCCGAGAGATGGGAACATAAATGCATATTAATAATTACACCTGCTGTTTGTCTGCACCTCTACACCAAACACTGGGGCTTAGGGGCCAGATTTCTCTCTCCAAGGAAGCACAGGGATTAGGAGCTAAGGTAGGAAGGCTCTGGCACAGCGCCTGGCACATGGAAAGTTCTCCCCCTCTCCCATACCTGGATCATCTACCCTCCTCCCCAGCACATGCGCCATTACCCAGACCACTCAATTACAATTAGCAGCTATTGTGCCCGCATCCCAACCACCCCAATTTTCCACTTCTATCTCTTTGTGCAGAGAAAATCAGTGCTTCTGCACTTCCAGTGTGTGGTGTGCCCTCTCTCCGGAAACCAGGAGGCTGTGTCGCCCCAGCTGTGAGGCCCCAGCCCCATCCCAGGCTGAGAAGCTGTGTGTGCACCTCAATTATCCCCCAACATATGTGTGTCCCCTCGTTCCCTTACTTCACACACAATCCCAGGTGTCGCCTGTCTCTGAAAAGTCATCCTCCTAGAAAATGCACAGATCTACAAGTCTGAAAGTTGACAACAGAAATAGTAACAGCCAATACCAGCTGAGCACCTGGTGGGTGCTGAGGCTGCTTTGAAACACTCTACGGGCATTAACTCATCAAATCTCCACCACCAGCCTGTGAGTGGAGGCTTCCTGTGGTTCCCGGGTGGGGGCCTGGGCCCTTACCACTGGCCATAAGATTTTTTTTTCAGTGCTAGGGATCTGAACCCGACTCCACCACTGAGCTACCCATCCCCCAGCCCTCTTTCTTTCCTCTTTTTTTTTTTTTGACAAGGTCTTACATAGGCTGGGCTCAAACTTGTAAACCTCCTGCCTCAGCCTGGAGTCATAGGGATTGTGGGCTCACCACCTGGGCCAGCTCACAAGACCCTTTAACAGATCTCCAGCCCCACTCTGGATCCAGAGCCACTAATCTTGGACGGGTGCCAGGGGTCGTTGCTCACCAGCACTTGTCCCGGGTACTCCCGGCGCAGGGCCACCTTCACTCCGCGGGCCTCCACCCGCACGGCCCGTGTGTAGCTCACGGTCTGGCTGCCGCGATGCTCGTTCTCCACCAGCACGCGGAAGGTGGGCAGTGCCTCGTTCTGGCCACAGGAGCCCACCAGCAGGTAGACGCAGGTGCCCATGAAATCGAAGCGCCGGCCGTCGAAGCTGATGTAGTGCGGGTCCCCAGACGCCTGACAGCTCCCAAAGTTGTCGGCGTAGCAACCCAGGAGGCCGTTCTCCACACGGCAGCGCTCGCCCGGAGGGCAGCCCTGAGTGTCGCGGCAGGTGACCTTCTGGGTGGAGCCGTCGCAGGTGCAACGCGAGCGGCACAGGTTGTCGCCCCACACCTCCTGGCCGGGCGCCAGCGGGCGGCCCTCGTAGACACAGCCGCAGGACGAGGCCGGCACGCAGGCGCCGCCGCTGACCACGAAGCCGGACAGGCACACGCAGCCCTCCACGCACGGGCGCTCCGAGCAGTTGGATGGCACTGCCTGGGAGTTGCAGGTGGCCGGGCAAGCGGGGCTGCAGACCTCGTAGCGGCTGTTAGCTGGGCAGGACATGGCTGCGGGTGCGGGGGGAAGGAGAGGGTCAAGGGAGGGCGCACCAGGACTCCCTGCGCTGCTCCCCGGAGATGGGCCCTCAGGTAGCGGTGCTTCCATCCGGGGTGGCTCAGGCCTTCCCGCAGGGTTGCAGTTAACCCTGCCCCACCCCATTCACAAGACAACCAATCTGTCAGTAAATCCTGTGAGCTCCATATTCAGAATCCACCGGAATGTGCCTGCTCCAGCCACCTGCCTGGTCTCTTGCCTGCCCTCCCCCCACCGTCAGAAGGACCCATGAAAACGGAGCTCAGATCAAGCACCACCCCCAGCCTTCCTGTGGCTCCATCTCACTCAGGGGAGCAGCCAGCGTCCTCCCAAGGCCCACAGGGCCCGGAGTCGTTGGCCCCCATCGCCCCCCTGCCCTTGTCTCTCACTCTGCCACATCCACAGTGGACCTGTCCCTGGTCCTCAGAGTCGAGTCCTACCTTGGAGCATTGGACTAGCCATTTCCCCTGCCTGCAGCACCCTTTCCTCCGAAAGCCCTGAGCAAATGACTCTGGCCTCTCTGCGCCTCAGCTTCCCCATCAATAAAGTGAGATGCGGTAGTGGAGACCTCACTAGGCTGCTGTGAGGACTGGGCGGGTTAATTCATACACAGGTGCTCCAAGAGCATCGTCGTCGCGGCGCAGCTGACTATTGCCGGGCCCTGCTCTCCCTCTCCGTCACCTGCTCACCAGGGGCTCCCCTGAGTCCCAGCTTCCTGACCTTCCTGGACGCTTCCTTTACGTGAATTTAATTTCTTTTGCTTTCTGAAGATATTTTACGGTCCACCTGCTCCCCTTCCCCCGGGATGTAAGTTCTGCGCGAGTGGAGATCCGCTCGGTCTCAAGCTCTGCTGAATCAGCACCAAGGACAGGTCCCGGCGCACCGTGGAGATTAATGGGTGAGGAATGAACTCACTGGCTCCTCTTTGGGCCAGGAATTAGGGAACCGGGGGTGGAGGGAGGCTTACTGAACAGTGAGGACACGGCAGTGACCTAGACAAATTCAAAAGAGCGTCAGCGTCTCCCTGAGATGTACTGCCCCTCGGAAATCTCTGTGCCAAACTTTGGGCCTCCAGCCTCCTCTCAGCCTTTAGGACAAAGCTGGATCTGTGCGGGTTCTACAGCGTCCTCAGCATCGCTAGCAGGGCATGGGCCATGGGGGGAGTCCTAGAACGCATGACTGACAGTGTAGATGGACATGTGGTATAAGAGATTGGGCTTTCTTTAGAGCGTGATGGGGAACCACCGAAGGGAGATAAGAAAAGAGAATCACATCTCTGTGTTGGAACTCTGCAGTCTGCCTTTCCTGCTAAGCAAAAGGAATTCATTTTTTCCTTTCTTTTTTTTCTGGCAATCTCCAGCTCCTCCTTTCAGATTCCCTGGACATCCCCTCCCTACCTTTTAAGTACTTCGGACTGGACCCAGAGCTTCACCCTCAGCTGTACCCTAGTCTTTAAAAAAAAATTGGGAGAGGGAGACAGGATCTTGCTAAGTCGTTGAGTTGCCCAAGCTGGGCTCGAGTTCACAGTTGTCCTGCCTCAGCCTCCCAGAGTGCTGAAATTATAGGGCGTGCCATCGCATCTGAATGGGCATAGTTTTTTTTGGTTTTGGTTTTTTTTCCAGTACCGGGAATTGAACTCACGACCTCACACTTGCTAGGCAGCACATAGCTTTTTCTAGGAAATCTCTCTGAAACCTCCCTCTTTGGCTGCACCAGGACCCTTCTCTGCTGTCCTACATCCCTCTGGACTTTCTTCATCCCAACCTCAGCCTCCTGCCCATGTCTCCCTGTCTCACCACTGACTCTCTGCCTATGCCTTGCCCATCCCAGCCCCAACCACACCAAGCTGTCATTGTCTCGTGATGTGTCTTCCCCAAGCTCAGGCCCAGTGTAGTACAGCCTGGCTTTCCTGGCCACCACTGTGTTCCTGGCATTGCCCAGCACTAGACCAACCCACAATAAGTGCTCAGGTATTTAACATAGGCAAGGGGTTCGCTGTCCCCCACAGTATGCTCCCCGCCCCCATCCCGGGCATTACTCACGGCAGTTGGCTGGTGACCTCCAGTCCCCAACAGAGATGCCCAGCTCCACACAGGCCTGGACATAGGCGCTGAGGCTGCGACACAGGCTGAGCCGCTCCCCTCCAGTCACACACAGGTCATACACGCAATCTTCCAGGAAGGGCTGGGGGTCCAGGGATTCGTGGCAGGCTGCGAAGGGGCCTTCAGGCAGGGTCAGCATGCCGCAGAGAGGGCTGCCCTCGTAGTGCTGGGCCTGGCCTGGGGTGCAGGCAGGACAGTTTTTCTGGCAGCCATCCTCACACAGGTAGTCCCCATCATCCAGCCTCCAGCTACTGGCAAACTGTTCGGGGTCAGCAGCCTGCTCCAGCTCGGGCGTGAGGAAGTCGTCAGCGGGGTCGCCATTATAGTTGCCACACAGCCCGCACACCTGGTCTTGGAAGCGCTCGGGCAGGCTCACTGTCAGCTGGCAGTCCCAGTCATAGGTGACCACCAGCCCAAAGTCCAGCTCCACCACGGCCCGTGTCCAGCTCTGGTACACGCGCAGGCGGTTGTTGCTCAGGGAGACCGGCAGGCGAGAGCGCTGGTTGTCGATCTGCAGAGGAAGTGGTGGTGAGACCCCATAGCTTATCCCCTTAGGAGTCTCATCGCCTCCCACTTCGCCTGCACCAGACACACGAGTTCCCTCTGGTATTGCCGGCCTTCCGGCCTCGGTATCTTCCTTTTGCTTGCTTGTTTGTTTGTGATACTAAGGGTTGAATCTAGAGCCTTTTCACTGAGTTGTATCCCCAGCCCTTTAAATTTTTTTTTTTTTTTAAATTTTGAGACAAGGTCTCACTAAGCCTCTGAATTGCCCTAGCTGAGCTGGAACTTGTGATCTTTCAGCCTCAGCCTTCTAGAGTGACAGAATTATAGGCATGGGCCGCCATACCCGGTTCAGCCTTGGGAGCTTGGCCCTGGCACCGCCTGTGGTCCAGTGTGCTCTTCCCTCAGCTGTGCACTAGCTCCCTCCCTCGCCTCCTAAGAAGTATTAGCTCAAGGGTCACCGACTCGGTGAGGCCATGCCTGACCACCTTATTTTAAACAGCAACCCTTCCCTGTTCTCCCACTCGGCTTTCCTTTCCCCCTACGGCTTTAAGGCCTCTCAAATGTAATTTGCAAACTTCTCTCCTCTGTCATCTTTCATGTCCCCAATACAATGTCAGCTCCACCAGGACAGGGATTTTTGTCCTTTTTGATCACTGTTTTATTTTGGCCTGCAACAGACTAGCAGGTGCTCAATAAACAGGACGTTGCCTGGCCCGGTGGCATACGCCTATGAGCCTAGCAGCCTGGGAGGCTGAGGCAGGAGGATGGTAAGTGTGAGCTCATCTTCAACTTAGTGAGACTTAGCGAGAACATGTCTTAAAAAAATAAAAGGGCTAAAAATAAATAAATAATAAATAGGGCTGGGAACACAGCTCTGTGCAAAGGCCTTAGGTTCAATCTCTGATCATCGCCAGTAACCACAGGGTGTGGGGGAAATGGGGAGAAAGAACTGGGGGACGGGAGGAGGGAAAGGAAAGAAGGGAGGAGATATTGCACGTAGTAGGTGCTCACTAACTTCAGTGACGTGGTCGATTCAGAAATCCCTCATTGTTGGATATTCAGATAGTTTTCTCTTTTTTTTTTTCTTGTTTCCTTTTGCTATTACACAAGCGATGTTGGCATGTTCTTTTTGTTTTGTTTTGGGCCCCACCCCCTCGCCCACCCATCGCTCTGAATAGCCTTAACATGGAATGGGTGGAAGAAAAGGCTTTAAGGTTCTGCCATTGATTTACAACCCTTTCTCCCCACCTCTTCGCCCCCGTGGCCGCTCCTCCGCACCCCGCCGAGGTGGACACTCACCCGCGCGAAGCCGACCTCCCCGCGGGCCAGCGTCACCGAGTGGCTGTAGGCGCGCACGGTCACCAGGCCCACGTAGGAGACGAGGCGGCTGCTCCGGTGCTCGTTCTTGGCCTCCACGCTGAAGGCCGGCAGGGTGTGGTCCATTCCGCACACCTCCGCCATCGTGTAGGTGCAGGTGCCCATCATGTCGTAGCGACGGCCGTCGAAGGTGGTGTAATGGGGGTCGCCCTGGGCGCGGCAGACGGCCGTGGACTGCGCCACGCACTTGGCTTTGCCGCCTGACACCAGGCAGCGCTGCCCGGCCGCACACTGCACGCCTTGGCAGGAGGGCTCCGCGGTGGGCAGCGTGGCTGTGCAGGGAACAGAGCGTTAGAAATGCCCGGGGACACAGGCCTGGGGACCCCCGCCCAGCTCACCTTTGAGAGTGAAACTGAATCTGTGCTGTCACAAGCGGACAGCTGGTCGGCACTCCCTGAAAACCCTAGGTTTCTGATCCCCCAGTTTATCACAGCTCAGCCCAGCAAAACCAAAGGTAGTGAAGGAAGAGCAGGAACAGTTACTGAAAGTTACTCTGTGCTCTTCTCTTCCTCTCTCCTCCCTTACCTTACCTTTCTACCAGGCAGCACTGAGCTACGTCCTCGCCTTTATTATTATATTTTTATTTTGAGACAGGGTCTCTCTAAATGACCCACATGGGCCTGAAACTTGCACTACTCCTGCCTCAACCTCCTGAGTAGCTGGGATGACAGGCACGCACAACCATGTCCAGCTTAGAGGATTTTTCTTTTTTCAGTAGCAGAGCTTAAACCCAGGGTCTTTGCCCGGAGATATAGCCCCAGCCTTGATTGTTTGTTTGTTTAAATTATGAAACAAGGCCTCACTAAATTGCCCAGGGTGGGTTCAAACTTTTGATCCCCCTGCCTCAGCCTCCTAGAGAGCTGGAAGCTAGAACACACCACCCCACCCTCAGCCTAAGGGATTTTTGTTTTTTTAAATGATGGAAAAATGGGAGACAGACTGTTGAACAAAACAGAAGCAACTTGTGGAACAGGCGGCCTGATCAGGAATCCTGGCCCAAGCAACTAGCCCTGTGACACTGGACAGGTTATTTTAAATGCTGTTTGCCTCAAGCTCCCCATTTATAATGCTGTTTGCCTTAAGCTCCCCACATATAACATCTATAATATAATAGATGTTAATCATACTTAGTTCCTAGGGAGCTGAGCAGAGATAGTGTCAGGTTTAAATAAATTAGGACTTAAGGAAGAGCTGGAACTGAATCCAGGTACTAGCTTGTTCCCTGTTTTAACCAAATGTCCGCCCCTCCCCATTCTACTACTCAAGGAGATGGACATCCCTCTATCTTGGCATCCTGGGTGTCCCCGAGAGCCCCTCCCCAAACAACCCCACAAACCAAGCAACAAAGGCCGATGCCAGCACGGTGGGGACTTCCTGGCTGGCATCTCATGTGACTGGTCATGCCTGCAGTCACTCCGGTAGCTAAACGTTTAGACTTGTTTCTGGCTGAAGGACAGGGCATGGGAAGACTTGAAGGATGTCAGGGAGGAGGCAGGTGAGGAGTGGACAGCCCCACTGAGCAGGAAGCCCCAGAGAAACAGGTCGGTGGGAAAAGGGTCTGCAAGTGGACAGGGTCAGAGATCTCACTCACTCCGGCCGCAGGCAGATGCTGTCCCGTAGCCCACAGCCTGGGCCAGCCCGAAGGTGAGCAACCCGAAGTTGGCAGCAGCCTCAGCCATGTGGATGGTGTCACCAGTGCCGAGGTCCACTTCGGCATAGGAGAACTCACTGCCTGGCACAGGCGCCCAGGTGAATTTGGCCCCCAGCGTGTGCCCATCCACAGTCAGCCCATCAACGGCCTTTGTCTGGGCTACCATCACGGCCACCCCCTCTGAGCCTGGTACAGTCTTGATCACATAGGCAGGGCAATAGGCTGCCACATCTGGGATCAGGACCAGGTAAGGGTCATAGACCACTTCATTCTTTACGGCACCTGTGCCGAACAGCAGCACCTGGATCCCCACATCTGCATGCAGGTAGAGTGGCCGGGTTGGCCGAACCTCAAACTCAACCACGTCACCCATCTGGAGCCCGCGGGAGCCGGTGGTACCCCCGTGGTTGTAGGTCAGCTTCGTGGTCTGGCTGGCTACAACGTAGGCCAGATCGAAGCGGGACTGGGAGGCCAGAGGGGGGACCACGTATTGTGTGCCCCAGGCAGACGTGGGCAGCAGCTGCTCCATGACGTGGTTGCAGGTTGTGTGCTTCTGGGCACAGCTGTGGCCAGAGAGGACCGCCACGGGGTGACTGGCTGTGACCTTTGACCCTGACATATCAGCTGTGCTCTGTAGCTGGGCCACCTCATAGGGCTGCAGAGTCACACTGAGGACATTGCCAGCGGGGTAGAAATTGCCCTTGAATGTCACCGACCCCTTCAGGTTGATTCTGACTGAGGCCCCCGCCGCACCAGCCACCACAGCAAACTCCTTGACATTTTTGGCTGAGGTGCCAGGGGGAGTGAGCACAAAGTACTCAGTGCCCAGGGCGTTGACAGGCCGCAGCAGAGTCAGTTCCGCTGTGTTGGGCTTAGTATTTAATGCCTGCACAGCGATGGTGTGGTCGGAGTGGACCACCACCGCGCTCCTGAAGGTACTGCTGCCGGTCATCTCAGCCTTGGCACTGATGTTGACCATGACCGACTCCCCGGGCCTCACTGTGACCTTCTTCGAAGTGTTATCTGCCCGGCTGAGGATGGAGACCAAAGCAGGGTTCTCTGACAGACTGGAGATGAAGAAGTAGAGGTGGGGCGTGCTGTACCCAGGCTGGTAATTCTGCAGGAAAGCTGTGAGGAATTCCTCCCCCCCAGAGTTCCTGGGGTCCACTCGGGCTTCCTGGGTTAGCCCTTAAGAAAACACAGTTGTGGGTCCAGTTTTCCAACCCTCCCCTTAGAGAACCAACCCCTTGCCTTGGGCCTGGAAAGATAGTGAAATAACTGCATTTCTCCCTCCCCCTTTCCTTTCTTCCTATTCAACAGCATTCGACAAGGCTTTCTGGCTTTTGCTTTCCAAAAGCCTGCTCACTATGGATAGGGATCTCAAACTCAAATGCTTCCAGGGCCAAGTGAGTTAGATAAATGTGAGAAATACTCTAGGTGGTGACTGTAGAGACCGAAACGTGCATACACCACCTGAAGGGGGTTGCTGTTTCTCTTCAGCTAGTTGGTGTTAGGAAAATACCAAAATGCTACATCTGAGCCAGGGTAGTGATACACGCAGCACTCACCCTGCCTCAAAATTTAAGAATTTCTAAAAGGATGGAGGGTGTAACCCAGTGCAAAGGCGCTGAGTTCAATAGCAAGTACTAAAAAAAACTAAATGAAAATGCTGCATCTTCCCATCTGAATTTTTCTTGAAATCTCCAATCCAAAGTAGTTTTAAGCACCCCGGAGGCACAAGCTGCCGGGTTGTAGCTTCCAGTGTAAGACTTCCATCTGACTGGGACTTGGGGTTTGTGCAAAGGGGATAAAAGGAAGATGGGGGTGGTGGGCACGTGGACAACGTGTCTCCTAGAAATAGAGGAGAGCTGGGCTTCTCCCCAGCTTCTCTCTCTAGAGAGAGAGGCAGGCAGGCAGGTAGGCAGACAGACAAATGGGTTTATGAAGTCTTCAGAAGTGTGTGGGATTAACAGGTCACTACCTGCAAAATGAAGGCTCCTTAAAGAATATCCTGCCATTTTATGGGGCCACGGGATTAGGGACAAAACACATTTCCAAAGCCACTTGGATGTTGACCACAAGGCTCTAATACCCCATCCACTCGCTGGTACTTTGGCTTTACCTAACATTCTAGTCCCATAACCCTAAGCGAACTGGGGACAAAACCTCCTCCAAGAATGACTTCCTGAAATTTCTCACCACCTCAGAATGAGCCTGAGAGTCTAAGCCTTAGTTGAGCTGCAGAAAACAAAGAAAGTGGATTGTTCTTGTGCACTTGAATTCAAGGTTGAAGGGTTGTATTTTTTTTTTAACCTTCCCCCTTCCAGGAGAGAGGCAGAAACAGACAGAGACAGAGACTGAGAAAGAATGGGTGAATTCCACTGTATTTCTCTGCAGACTCTACAGGCCTCTTTCTCATCTCTGCTAGCCTGGGGGACATTGGGAGGTGGGTTCGTGGAGGGGACACAGACAGAGGATGCTGACCCAGACAGAGCGAGTCTCCCAGATTGGAACAAGGCCACGGATAGAGTCTTGGTCTGACTTACCCCACAGGAGGATTGTTCCGGCCCACAGTGTCCACCAGCTCCACAGGGAACCCATGTCTGCAGGAGGGAGAGAAATGGGGGTCACAGGAGGCTGGACTCAGGACAAAGGCCACATGGGGCCCCAGACAGGCTGAGATGGCAGAGAGGAAAGTCAGTCAAATGGGGCAAGAAAGACTAGATCAAGGCTGTGCATGTATGTGTAGGAAGATTGGGGGTCCAGTGGGTGATGGGGTAAGATGTCGAGGGCAGGATCAAGGGAATTGAATGTCCAGAAGAGGGTCTCAGAGTGGGGTAGAATAAGATAGTCTGGTGCGAGGGACCAGAGAAGGGGATTTACTGTCCCACTCCCCCAGGGGTCCCCAGCCCTTCTCACCTGCAGGTCCCTGGAGCTGCAGAGCCAGCTTGAGGGCTGGGCTATATAGCAGAGCTTCTTGACCCTTCAGGACACACCCTGGGCCACCTGTCACATAGATTATGCCAACTTCCTGGAGCAGGCTGCTGCCACCAGGCCAGATGGAACAGGGAGCCCTAAAGTCCTAGAAAGGGTGGAAGACGGGTCTGAGCCTCCCTCTGAGAACAGCTGGTGGCCATGCCCTCGGAGTCTACAGGAAAGCTCTGCCCTGCAAGGGTGGTGCTGCTGAGGGAGACAGCTGGGCAGCATACCAACAGCCTGGGTCCCAGGGTGGGGTGGGGGTGGGGAATGAGGTGAGAGGTGGCTTTAGTCATGTTTGCTGGGTTGCTCAACAGATTCCTTCCTTAGACCCCTGCCAGGATCAACAGCAAGAGCCCATATCCGGGTCCTGGCTCCACCCAGTCCCATGGGCTGACTTCTGATCCCCCACCACCCACATCCTGTTTCTAGTCACCAATGAGAGGCAGGTGTCCGGGGCCCTGACCCAGGCCTGCAGTGTGGAATCTAAGGCCTCCACTCCCAGTCCAACAGGGCCTCCAGGTTCCTTACCTGGGAACATTGAGACCAGCCTCACTAGGCTTAGGGACCCCGCAGCAGCTTCCCTAATACCTCTGTGGTGCCAGGCTGGGGTTATGGTGGGAAGTGAGGCTGAGGCTGAGGGTGAAGAAGCCCACAGGCTTCTGTTTCCTGGTTCTACCGAGCCATGTAGGTTTTACTTCACTTTCTGGAGAATTATTTGTTTTGGGCTTTGGTTTGTATGGGGATCTCTCTTCCCCTACTCAAAAAGACTGGGTGAATAGGTTTTGGTGATTCTGTGCCATCTCATCGCCCCAGAACTGGCCTCAGATGAGACATGGGGGTGTCAGTGGCTCACGGAGCAGAACTAGCTGAAGGGCAGCATGGGCTTTTGGGTGGAATCGGTGAATCCCCGGGGGCTGGCTTGACCCATGGTCCACTTCGCTCCTCCCTACCTCGAAATCATTTGTTTGCTGAGAAGTCTCCACCAGAAGCAGCAGCTGCCAGGCCTGGGTATCCTTTCAGTCAACATCCCAACAGCTGCTGCTCCCAGGGCTCCTCCTCTCTTATCGCTGAGGCCTGGACTTCAGGGCGGCCATGGTGGGTGGGGGCTTTCTTTCTCTCTGGGGCTCTGGCCACACCCACACCCACCACAGCGGGTTCCCAGAGGAAAAGATAAAGCCTTGGCTTTAACTGAGACTGAAAGTCAATGAGGAATGACGTCAGTAAACAAAAGGCCGGTTGAGAGCCAGAAACAGCGAGAAATAAGCAGGGGTGGGAGACCCTCGGGGAGTGGGGGAGGGGTGCATGGGTCTTTGAGGGGTCTGAAGGTCTGGGAGAGAGGAGCACCATGTCCATGAGGGGGAGAAAGGGACTGAGGGGAGGGGACATAGAGACTCCTGAGGAGGAAACGGGGATTGCAAACCAAGATGTCAAAATCTTCTCTGCAGATACCCCTCATGTGAGCTGAGACAGTCAGAGAAATAAGGGAACGGGGGTAAAGAAGTAAGGTGAGCTTTCAGGGGTGACTCTGGCCTCCAGGATCCTCTAAGCCCTGAGGTCTCCCCTGTCTGAGGAAGCCTTCACCTTCAAAACCTACCCATCCTTGCTCTCCACAGAAATAGGATGGTGGCAGGAAATCTCACAAATTATTTCTCATTGTATTTGAAAAACCCTCTAAGACTTGCTCTGCCATTCCATTCAGTGCCCAAGATGGGTGTGGGAGGGAGGGAGAGAGAGAGAGAGAGAGAGAGAGAGAGAGAGAGAGAGAGAGAGAACATACCCAGGAGCCCTACCCCGTAGTATATATTCTCAGGAATCCCACTGATGACCTGCAAAATAACTTCTGTGACATTTCCTTATAGTCACAAAAACCACATTCATCTCACCACTGACAGCTTCACCCAAACTCAAACAAGGGTGTTGGTATGTTTGAGCCTTCCAGATTTTCCCAGAGTATGACAGGCAGGGTCCGATCTGCAGGAGTCACAATATTCCAGACCTCTAGGACCCTCTGGCCCCCCTGGACTCTACATACCAGATTAGCGTCTCCAGCAAAATTCAGGTTTGCTGATGATTTCCATGCTCTGGAGCCTGTGATCTGCCTTCCATATTCTGGAAACAGGTTTGCTAAACCTTCTCATGGCCTGTTATTCACCGTGTGGCTCTAGCTCCTTCTTGGTAACATTTGACATTTCATTTTCATTGCTATTCAGTTGTATTTTTAAAAAAACTACGTATTTACCTATACATGCTTATGCGTACTTATGCACTTACTCTTTGAAATTATCTAAAATCTTGGTTCTTGCCAGGCATGGTGGTGCACACCTATAATCCCAGCACTCGGGAGACTGAGGCAGGAGGATCGTTGTGAGTTCGAGACCAGCCTGGTCTACAAAGTGAGCTCAAGGCCAGCCTGAACTGCATAGTGAGACCCTGTCTCAAAAAAGATGTACATACATACATACATACATACATACATAAAATCTTGGTTCTTGTGTTACTTTGGCCTGTTTCCTACAATTATGCCTTTAATACTGATGGTTTTGAGATTCTCTTTCTCTGCTTTCTCAAATCCTCACCACCACCACCTCAGTACTGGGAAATTCAGACGCTTCCAGCAGAACTATACCCCCAGCCCTTTCTTCCTCTTTTGAGACAGGGACACACTAAGTCCCTAAGTGACCCACGCTGGGCTTGAGCTTGGAATCCTCCCCTCCCAGCCTCCCACAGTGCTGGAATTACATGTGTGCACCACACGCCCAGCTTCTAACCACCCGCGATCTCATCCACATCCACCTATGTTGTGCCATGGAACATTTTTTTAAAGTTTGTGCTGTTCGATGCAGTCGGCAGTTGTACTATTGAGCTCACGTGCTACTGGGCATTTGAAGTATGAGCAATGTGATGGAGAAACTGAACTTTTCACTTCGTGAAATTCAAATTTATGCCTAGCGTCCATATCAGACAACACAAGATTCTACAGCCTTTGGTAGCGCAGGCCCCGGTTCATCCTCCTGTCCAGCTGCCTGTCTCTACCCACCTGCATACCTAATTATTTGTCTTTCTTAGTATCCCTTTTCCATTCCTGTTGCCTCCTTTCAGGCAACCATTTGGAGATGACTCATGCCACTATTTTTAAAATATTTTATTGAAATAAAATACATATTAGCAAATACACAAACCATAAATATGTACGGCTCACTAAATTATATCATAATGAACACACCCTGTGACCTTCACCCAGGTCAGATCTGCAGAGAGAATATTCTACCATTCCGGAAGCCCTTCTCGTGCTCCTTCCCAATCACTACGTACACTCTACTTCCCATAGGTAGCCTTTATTTGGGCTTCTCATTATTCTGCTGGTTTTTTAATTCTGTGTACACAGAACCGTATGTCTGTACCGTTTGGTGATAGACTTCTTTCTATCAATGGCATCCTTGTGCGTGTAACTATAGTTCATTATTACTGCTACTCAGTTGTATTAAAAACCAACGTACTTCCCTATACATACTTAGGCATCCTACTGTTGATTGACATTCATATATACTTTTTTTTGGTCTTTTTGAGACAGGATCTCGCTATGCAGCTCAGGCTGGCCTTGAGCTCACTTTGTAGCCCAGGCTGGCCTCCAGTTCACAATGATCCTCCTGCCTCAGCCTCCCAAGTGCTGGGATTACAGGTGTGCACCACCATGCCCGGCTTTGATGGACATTCAGATTGTTTCCATTTTGGGCTAATGCATGCTGTTCCTGGCAAGCATATGTGTAATTTCTCTTGAGATAGTATGTGAAGTTCCTAATTGTAGATTTGCCAGGTTGTTAGGGTCAGCTTTGGTTGCTACCACTCACACTTGCAGGCTAATGTACCAATTTAAAATCCCACAATCAATATATGACCAGTCTAGTTGCTTCACAACTGCACCGATACATTCTAGAAGTGCAGTAATTTAATTTGCACTTTCTTACTTGTCAATGAAGTTGAACATATTTTCATATTTTTGGACCATTTGAATATCTTTTTGTGATTTGTGATTTTAGTAAGGTAATTAATTATTCAAGTCTTTTGCACATTTTTCTACCTGGTTGTCTTTCTCCTGTCCATCTCTGTGAATTCTTTACACGTATATTCTGGATATAACTGTTTGTTGGTTACCTGTTTTATAAATATGTTCTCTCATTTTATGACTTTTCATATTCTTAATGATGAAAAACTCCTTAATTTTAATGAAGTCCATTTTATGAGTCTGTGTTGTTTTTGTGACTGGCTTCCTCTTATGACTATGTGGCATTTTCAATTTTTTTTTTTTTTTTTGTCTTTTTGAGACAGGGTCTTGCTATGCAGTTCAGGCTGGTCTTGAACTCACTTTGTAGCACAGGCTGGCCTCAAACTCACAATGATCCTCCTGCCTCAGCCTCCCAAGTGCTGGGATTGTAGGTGTGCACCACCACACTTGGTTTATGTTGAGTTTGCAAACACTTTTCCTGCATCTATTTTTTTTTACTATTATCTACAAATATTTACTGTAACACTTGAATAGAACTACAAGAAGCCCTTGGCACTTTTAGAAAATATTGATTCACTATTAGGTTACAAAAAATTATACATAGCAAAATTTAATGCTCTTTACATAAAAAATACTAGACTAGTCAACAAAACTTTCAAAAGTTCCTGGTAATAGCTACCAGAATTAGAAAAGTAAAATTAGGCTTTAGACACTGCCTCTTCTAGAACACTGGACTCTTAACAGCACCTCCACTGCCGGAAAGAATATTTCAGTTTGTCATGCAACAGGAAAACAAAACACTATGCTACCTTAGAACACCTGTTCTACACAGAAGAGAGCTTCTCCAAAGTAAGAGAACAAATCCAAATAGGCATTTTTAGGCATAATTTTAAAAAGAATCCAAACGAAATATTATACTTGATGTTCAGTTTAATAGTAGCTTGATAAGGGCATGCTTCCTTTCATTTGAGTACATTTTTGCACATGTATATGTTTTAAAATCCAGGAAACAGTCAAACCACAAGTTAACTCTTCACGTGAATATACATGTTAATATGTATTACATGAACATGAATAACATTCATTAACATGAATAACATGAACCCTATAGTATGCAGCCCCTTTGAAAAGCACTGATGCACCCAACAGTTATTTGGATCATTTCAAAAAGAAAAA